TATATTAGTTTATATATACATATATTTGTCAACCCGCGACATATCGGTGATATTCCAGATTTTTTGAGAATTCCTAATTCTTTTCGTCTCTAGTTTTGGGAAAAGAAAACGTTCAACTTTTTTAACTTATAGTTATATGCAGATAAAAGAAATTAAAACTAAAGTAAAAATATATGTCTATCGTCTTTATACTTTTCTTTTTCGAATTGGCAGATTAAGCGTCTTTGAAAACTAAAAAGATGAGGGCAGTGTATTACAAGATGTGTAACATTATATAATCATCATTATAAAGAAAACGTTTTATCTTAACGTGACGTTCATAGCGTAACCACTTCAGGGTTACTTCCAAGTTTTATGCCACGATTTACATTGTTGGATTTTCTATTCTAACGCAATAAGAGAAGCGATAGAGGTAAGATAACAAGGCGCGAACTGTCTTACGGGAACTTTATCTGATTTTATATAAAGTATTTAAGATAATTGAATTTCTAAGGAACTAATTACTGCCATGTAATGATAATTATATTATATATATCGCATAATTTTTTATGTGTGCAATGATGAAAAGAAAAATGTTAAATATTTCGGAATCGAATCCGAAATAGAAATATCGCGGAGAAAAAGTCTTTTATAAATAAAAAAGTGATACTGGACAGTATTTTTCGAATATTTATATTGTTCGCAAAGAAGTAGATATTTACAAGACTTTTTCTTTCGAAATGTTGGTTGCATTTTTACGATATTGACAGCGAAAACGTCCGTAAGTAGTACAATGTCGTCAATCGATACGCATCGACGAAAGTTTTATTATAAATTGTAAATTTTATTCGCGGCGTGTTAAATAATAATCAATCTATCTATCTCTCGTTTATATATTTTACGCCAGACGATTCTCCCCCTTGGTGAACGAGTTTTATTTTCATGCCGACACTAAATGTCAAATGAAAATTTCGACGTAAAAGTTTGTTTCGAAATAAAACATTATGGCTGACGTGGAGAGCTCGCGAACATGCTTGCCGATTTCGAGACGAGCTTGCTCCGCCGTCAAACGTCATCAACAGTCTCGTCTTTTCCTCTGCGATATCTTGATGATATTGAAGGTCGTTATTTTCTGCCGAGTGGTTACAGTGTATACACATATTTAATTATTGCCGGTCTTAATAAAAATAACATTTATGTGAAGAATTATTCGGGTAGTGTTATATCTCTCGAAATGTGATGACGAGCCTGGCGATGCCAAAGATGGATTTTATTCTCCCTTGAAATCTTTTCAGTGAAATCTCTCTCGCATTACGCCTTTCTCGCGAGAGATTAATAGCTGGGTAGGACGCCTCCGATATTTCTTCGCGCGCGATACGTTATACAATTCTGAAATTGATTTCAACGCCGGCTGTGCGCCGTGCAACGGAGATAGAGGCGGGGTGCATTAGGGGAAAAGAGAAGAGGAGTGAAAAAGTGTGAGAGAAAAAAGATATAGAGACGGAGGGCCAATGTTGTCGGGTTATTGGTGTTTACCTCGTCGGCTCGCGAAATTTGCCGACGGCGGCACCTCCATCACTCGGCAATTTTCTGAATCCACGCGGGTGATCCGCCGGGGATCGCGATGTATTCTGCCGATTTATATTTTCACCCGAAGATAATCGTCAGTATTACGGAGCCGCGTCTTGTCCACCTTTTCTCCCCCGCATCTCTCTCTCCTCAGCGTTTTTTTTTTTTTGCAATTTATACCGAGATGCTTAAGCGTTTGCCTTGACCTATCTACTTATAAATGGCGGTCGTTTATCAGGCTTTACTGAATTTCCCTCGGTTCTCTCGGGCCTGCCGAGAGCCGGTTGTGCGAAATCGAAACAGCTCTCCGTACACGCGCGTTGTTTACGCAAAAACGTCATTTCCATACGTCGGAATTCTCGCATCTTGCATTAATCCCCTGTGACAGGACAAATTTGTATATTAGTCTTAGGATGCATTATTCAATTTTTGTCTGAGACGAACGTTACGCGCAACATAATTCAGCATTTAAGGGGTCGTATGAATTTTCATGTGACATTCGTAGTTTATCTCACGGTAGTATAACATATTTGATCGTGCGCTCAAAGAGAAATTAACTGAATTAAATTTACTTAATAAGATGAGAAAAAGAGACGTGGAGAAATAATTTACTGTAGGAGCACTATAAGTATTAACACGGTCCACTATAAAATCCACTCGTCATTTTCTCGCTTCCGGAAATATCTTTTTCACGTCAAGCCGGTTCATCGCTCGTAACGTCTCGGTGACAGTCTAATATCGTCGCGACGTCATGCTGTAACATCTTCGCCATTTCGGTCACAAATTAGCACTGGACTGTCTGCAAATAGCGATTGTATTGTATATATGGCGTGCATGCTTTCGAATCGGCGAGTCTTCTCGGCGACGTTGACGAGGACGACGACGACGGGCTCCATCGTCGGTAGACGTTTGTCGCAAGTCTCCCATGATCGTGTCTTGAGAGACGGGGAACTTTTCACCCCACTCTTTCTACTACCCTTTAAGATATTCCGCTCGGTCGTCAAGTGATATCTTCATACCGTCGTGACGGTGAATTATTGTTCATGGCCTTTTTCAGTCCTCGGCACGGCGGGATTCGCATTCTAGACGCGACATGTCCGCGCGCTACCAGATACTTTTACCTCCTTTTTCGCGAATAAATGGAACTTGCGTGCTTATATGAATAGAGAAATCGCAAAGTGAAATTATTCTATGTTAGCCGGAGGATAATTTATCGCGCGTTCATATAACGTTGTACAAATATATTTAAAAAAAAATATTTTTATGACAAATAATGCTAGCTCTCTAATGATCGCATTAAAAAAGATGAATAATGTTAAAATCTTTTTATTAAAATCCTTTAAAATTAGTACAATGTCTTTAACTCGATATGAAATCAATGTTTTATATAAAAACTGTCTATATAACAAGTAAGAGATATGTCGAGCTCTCAGGGATGTAAATATTCATGAAACGATGATGAAGATATTATCGATATTAATTCAGTACTCAGATCGGTTTTTCGCAACATTGTATCGCCGCATTTTGGCGATACGAAAAGAAAAACATTGCGCATAGTTGGAAAGATCGAATTTTAACCGGTTCGTCATATTTGCTCATTCTGTTTCGAGGCGACTTTAATGCGCGTATCGGATTAATTAAAACGCGATAGCGGGCCCATTCGATTCGCGTCATGTAATTTTCGCAATTCCATCGCGATTTTGACGTGCGAGCGTAAATCAAATTAATCGAGAGCCTGGCATAAATATGTGTTCCCGATATTTCCATAGCATTGTATTGCAGTAGCAGTTATAATCGCATCCCTCGAGATTCTTTTAGATCGGCATATTTTTTCTCCTCGCTCAAGTAGAACCGAATCGTGCAAGTTGATAACTCTTTTCTGTCGCCCCATCATACGACGGAATTGCGCAAATTAAATTTAACGAAACGCAGATGGTATACGATATTTTTGCAATGTCACTTTGTAGCGAACAGAATTACATTTTTCCGGATTGTATGGAACACGTTCCCTTCTTCCTTCGGTTGGGAAGGTAACCGCGAATTCCCGTCGCTACTTGTTTTCGCAATGGAATTACGCGCGGCATTCCGAGCCAGACGCTAGAATTAAGCAATTAACGATAATAATCGGCTTGCTTTCGTTCCCGCGCAGGCGGCCGTGGCACAAACCGCGGACTTGGACGAAAAATCAATGCTACCATTCCCGATTGACCGACCGATCGCGATCGATCGAGGCGGGTCTCCAGGCTTTCAATTCGTCAAGCACCCTGTCGATACGCCGCGCTCTCGAATTTGTCTGGCAATTAGCGCACTTTTGCCCGTCATCCATCAGCTTTGCATCGGCGCGAGAACTTTATTGCTAGAAATCACGAGGTCTTGCCCTTTTTTTGCGGTATTCTGGTAGATCGGCGCTGCTAGAGGAGTAATTGAATACGCGGTTATTTATTACCGGTCGTACGCGATGGTATGTAATTAATTGTCTCTCCCGCGGCGATTAAATCTTACATTTTTCTCTGACAGCGATGGCAAAGAAAAAGTTGACTATGTCGTGATTCCATACAAAAAGTCAGATAGGTGTATTTGCGCCTTTTTAAATATAATAATATTATAAATCAATTTTTCTTGTGACAGTAAAATACTCTTTTATTATCTTAAATATAAATTGTTTGAAAATATCTAAATGTGAAAAAGCTTTTTTGAGAAAAAGACAAGAATTAAAATATGCTAGTTAATTAAAATGATTGAAATTATTGTCTTTTTAAACGTATTTTTTATCAATTCATATGACACTTTATGTCGTGCATTTGATTTTAAAATACAGTGTCCTTAGAAGCGACCAGCTGATTCTTGTCCCACGAACATGAAGTCGCGAAACTATGATTGATACAAGTTTGCTTAAAAAAAGACGTGACATTCTAGCGGTGCCCCGTGTCACCTTTTCAACGTTTTCCAACGTGTTCTTTTCGAGAGTCCTTGCGTCAATCGTTATAAACGCGCGATTCTAAATTTATGAGCCAACGCCAAAATAGACAGCACCTATATTTAAGCCTTTATAACCTACGTTATTTCTTGCTTTTGAAAAAAAATTATATACAATCGAGCATTAATATAAATATTCCACGTGCAATAAAAATTAAAGGTTAATTTTACTTTTGTAAACATTTTATTATAAGAAATATTATAATAGTATTATCTCAAAATTACAATGGATTATAGAAGATAGAAATTTGTTTTTTCTCGAGGCTTATATCGAGAATATATTACGAGAATTATAATATTAGTAGCGCATAATTGCAAGGAATATTCTTTAATTTAGATTAATCCGTAGTGAAAAAGAGAGAGAAGGAAATAAATATCCAATATATTTAATATAGAAAAAAATTGCAACATCACAATATTTATGTATGTATTTTAATTTGTATGTATATTTTAATTTTGTAACTTTATGATTACAGTACGATGATGGCGGGCTGCACGGGGGTTACCTCGAGGGCGGTGGTGGCGGTGGAGGCGCAGGGCTGTACGATCCACACGGTAATGCCCGCGGCGTTCCCGGTCTCCATCACAGTCCACACCTCGGTAGTATGGGTCCGGCTCACCCCCAGTACCCACCGCCCCAGCCGCCACAGCACGTTCTGGCGGCAGCAGCCGCGGCCGCGGCCTCCGCGGTACCCGATGTCCACAAACGCGACAAGGACGCTATATACGGGTGAGTAGTATTTTCCCTATTTCTCTCCTGTATACATATATGTATATCTGTGCCGGAAGCGCGAAGCACCGACGATCGGATGAAATGAGTCTATCGAGCGCGATAACGAGCGACGGTTGCATGCGCGTTACGTGGCTTCTAAATGCGGCTTATCGGGAAATTATGCGCACTTTGGGCCGCCGTTACGACGATCCTCTAATTTGTGCGACATAACTTTGCATGAGCTTGAGTATAAATGCGCGCGCGCGCGATTACGTTCACAATCGCGGTAATTGTCGATGATTATACTTATCATAATCTGTTTCTATCGTGCCTGCTATTTACCTACATACCTATTTCATGTTTGAGAGATTTGCATAAAAATATGCGCTGATAAATATCCTATTTTACAAGCGAGATGTTTTGGCGGGAAGCAGGTGCGAGAGCGAGCGCAGGACGAGCTTGAAATGCACATAAATTCGTCGTGGCCATTTGATTTTCTGAATCCGTTTACACGACCCGCCTCAACAATTTCATTGTAACGGACAAGACGCTGCGATTTTTTCCTGCGCTTTCGAAAGGAAGACGACTTTCTTTTCACTCTTT